ATGGTCTTAGGCGACCCCTGTGAAAGGGTCGTTTAACCCCCAAAGGGGTCGCGACCCACAGGTTGAGAACCGCTGGTTTATACAGAGGAACTCTCCTGCCCCATCTTTGCTCCGCTGTTTGCCCGAGAACTTGAGTGCATCTCGCGCTCACTTGGATCCGGCATGTCTACAGCGTTCTCCACAGCAGCCTTGTGACGTTCCAGGACATGTGGCCGAGCGAGAAGAGCTTGGTCTCCGAGAAGGTGCTCGTGGTAGCAGCATTCCTTCGGGACCTGGCCGTTCGCAGCAAGGGGTCCTTTCAGCAGTAAATGGGCAAAGCGAAAGCGTTCTCATGTTACTCATATTTTTTCCAAATAATTAGAGTCAAACAGTGACTTTTGCTGATGGTGTCTTTCCTGAAAGGTCTCGGTTACTGTAAGAGGAAATGACTGGCTTGTTTAGGTTAAACAACATATAATTTATTTGAATGATGCTGGGTTACTTGTGAGAATCTCAGGGATCATTGGGCCAGCCACGTCTCAGGAGGAGTCGGAACAGAGGCCTGTCCTGGGACCTTCCAGCCGCGTTTGTGACCGAGCCCAGCGCTGCTCGGTCCGAAAGCCAGAACTCCCGGAGAACAGAGCTCCCCGCTGGACCCATCAGCTGTGCACAGCAGAGGCAGGCAGGTTGGACAGATGTGGCTCCCTCCCTCGCCCAACACTACGCTTTTCTGAGGTTTGGAATTCAGAGACTCAGTTCAGATCTACCACCCAGTAGCTTTTTACATCTTGGTCAAATGATTTGCTTTAAAAATAAAAAATCAGATGGATGATCGTGTGCTGTGTTGAGAAAGGACTGTGTTGATGGCCGCACTCTCTGCCCAGCCTCTCTGAACCTGAGTGAGGACTGGGCAGCAACCTCCGCCTCCCCCAGCCCGCCTCCCTGATCGATGCCAGGTGACGGCTCCCCGTCCTGCAGCCCAGATGAGGGGCTGGAACGGTGAATCCACAGCCTGACTGGAGCCATCCCGAAATCTTTTGACACTTAGTCAAGAGGGAGTTGTCAAAACAAGATATCCATAACAGAGGTCCCGACTGTCTTATCAAAGACACTTGAATTCCTGCCAGACTCCAGACAGATTCCCATCCCCAGGGGCACCTCGCGGGCAGCAAGGGGACGTTTCTGAGCAAACATTGATAGCGCCAGCGAATGGGCATTAAATTATCGGCGTGACAACTCGCCCTGGGCTGCCTCTGATTGCCGATGTGACGGGTTATCTATTTGCAATTGGACTCTGCCGCGGAACTGTGGCCATTGCTGGGGGAACTTATTTCGGGGAAGGGAAATGAAGAACACATTAAGGACGA